CCACACTGGAACACTTGCCACCTTCTCCTGCACTTGGCACACTTAATGGCCAGCATTCAAGTGGACTTTTCCCTCCCCGCTCCCCCTCCCCCCTTTTTGTAAAGCCTTGCCTGGAGAAGATATCCAGAGTCCAAAGGAGATGCAGCAGTCCCAATGCTTGTGGATGGATGGATGGATGGATGGATGGATGGATGGATGGATGGATATTAAGTGCTTTTATGTCATTCCACAGTCAGAAAGGGTCCCAGATCATCCTACATCTAATCAATTAAACAAGACAGGGCCTGCCTGCAGCATCACAATTTAAAACAACCAGGAAAAAGGAAGAGGGAAACTAATATTGCAGGACTGAACATTGGTCTTGCTTTCTGCTCCCATCTCCCTCAGTCCAGGTTCCTGAAATGGTTGCTGGTGTAACAAATGAGGAAGATATAGGCATAGACAAAGGTATATCTTTGTGGATATAGATCCATGTGATTATTAAGCTCATCGGAGGAAGGCTTGCTGGTTGGACTGTGAGCTGCAGATTGCCATCTGGCCTTCCCCAGGGTGACACTCACCTTGTGATATGCACTCCCCACACCTCTGTATTTCTCAGCTTCCAACTTTGGCCGGCTTTAAGTGCCCACTAAAGATCTACCTCTTCACCCTGACCTTCCCTGACCAATTGTGTTGTCCATCTTATTGGATGGTTGTGCTGTGTTTTCTGATTTTAAAAGTGCCTAAGATTGCAACCTTTACAGAATCATAGATGGCCGGGGGGGGGGGGGGGGCGAGGCACAGGTCATCTAGTCCAACTAGGAGATCCAGCACACCCCCCAGGTCTGTATGCTCAGGGATTGTGTTGCGAGGCCAGGGAGAGGAATGAGTCAGTTCAAAGCAGGAGAAGGCTGGTGGACAAGGAGTCCTGCTGCTCTAAATGGAAAGGATCAGTCTGGTTCTGAGATGCAGGCAAGAGACGGACACCACACCTATTTTGTCAGCTGCTGAGGTTTATAAACACAATGAAACCGTTTGCATGTAATCCCTGATTTTAATTTGGATTAAACTTAAAATGCACAAAGCAGATGAGGATTTTAAGCATGGTAGGAAAAGAGTACTGCTGCTCCCCGCTCCCCAGTCCCACCCTTTCCTCCAGGCATTCAGCACCAGCTTGCTTGTCTTGTTCTCAAGGAGCTCTTGGGAAAACTGGAATGGATGGGTTTTCAAAGTAGTGGCTTTCTCTAGTGGTTGATTTCAGTCCATAGGAAAAAATAGTACAAATAGGGGTTTTCCCCCCCAAGATATTTTGTACTGAACTTCCTCTATTGATATAGCTATCTGTTGGAAGAATTTAAGAGATTTTTCCATTTCAGAGTGCTATTCGTCACTGGCATATATTTTTTCAACTTCAAAGCATACTTCTGTAAGTCCTACTGAAATCAGTGTTTATATGCAAGTAAATATGTACAGATTCTTGCTGTAACTGCATATCTATACATGTCTACTTGGAAGTAAGACTCATTGATTTCAGTGAGGTTTACTCTCAGGTATGCAGTCTGAAAGCATGCAAATGCAAGTTGATAAAAAGGTACCACTTCGGTGGGCAGGTAACAGCGTTCCGTGCACTTCGGTGTTTAGTCATGCCGGCCACATGACCATGGAAACTGTCTGCGGACAAACGCTGGCTCCCTCAGCTAGGAAATGAAGATGAGCACCGCCCCCTAGAGTCAGGCATGACTGGACTTAATGTCAAGGGGAAATCTTTACCTTTACCTTTTTACTCTCAGGCAAGTCCAATCTAGAGAAAAGATTCATATTTGGGTGTTTAGTTACTTCTAAACACTCACCAAGTCTTCCTTTACCCACTTAGATGTCTCTCCCAATGTTTTATTTTATTAATTTTGTTAATTATACTTAAAAGTCATACAGGGTTCTATTCCAGGCCCATTACTCCTCTACACTTCATATTCATAACAAGTAATACAAAGTGCATGATTTAGCAATAAATAAATCCCTGTTTGCTTATACAATCATACTTCTTCCTAATTCCTATTATGAAATCTACATACTTCATATTGTTTTGCAAAGGTAAATTCATACCTTTTCCCCAAGGTTTGCTAAACATTGTCTGTGCTATTTTTGAGTGCTTCTTTGTACATATACCTGAAGATTGTTACTGAAATTTTGCTGTTCTTTCAACTTGACCTTCAGAGGTGTATTTATAAACAAAACACTGATCTTCAGAAGCACATCCTTTTCCACCCAACAATCTTCGACTATCCATTAAAACCTGTGGAAATAATTTCCCATGGTTAAATTCCATGGGTGAGGAGAGAGGACGGCATTTGATTTCAGAAAAAAAAATAAGGCAGAGGGCCTTGAAACCTATAGTGGCAGAAAGATTCAAGACAGGCAACAGGAGGAGAAACACATGTGGGTAAAAAGGTATCTAATACCACTAGACTCCTATATCTTTATTTCAGTAAATGCCATTTTTTCTAGTAACATGGAAAACAAGGATATTCAAAATAGCTATCTATACAATGGACTCCAATCTATTATGTTACAGTAAATCAGTAAGTCTTTAAGGCATTCTGGCTTTTAAACACAAAGGAGCAAGACTACAGCCTCTTCCCACATCAATTCAGCTTTCAGTTGCCTCGTGCAAAACAGCATCTGGCCACATGGAATGTGCAAAAGGCAGAAAGAGCGCTGCAGAGCCAAGGAGTTCCAGACACGCTCAAGAAAACCTGGGCAAGCCATATGCACATACGTTGCCTTGTGCCAATCACTGCTGCTAATTCAAACACTTTTTGCAGGCAAAGCCCTCTTCTCTTTTTCCCTGAAGTAAATGGCCTGGGCCAGCTTGGAGGAAGCAACAGATGAGGAAGGCCTCTGGCACTCTGATCTGTGAACAACCAATGAGCCTGCTGCTCCCCTTGCCAGGGCCTTGAGACCTATAGTGGCCCAGGGCACAAGTTCACAGGTCTCCGCAGAGGCAGGTATGGTGCTGTTAGGCAATTTTGGACCCTTCACTTAAGAAAAATAATGAGCAGACTGTGAGAGGAAAGCTACCAGTCTTTCATCCAGCTTAAAGGCTGGTGTCCTTGTGCTATGCTCCGTATTGATCTGTTAAGGGTGTGAGTCTCCATGTATCCAACGCTACTAAGTTCCAAAGGAAGAGGTGGGAGATGGCAACTGAGCCAGCTCTAAGGATCCTGGGCACAGCTCAGAAAATCTGGAGCTTATGCTTATTCAGGTGACCCTGTTTTACCTGAACTCATCTCTGGAAGTATCCCAGAAAAATAATTAAGAAGAATGCAATAGGTGCTTCCAGTTGCGTGGCTGCTTGCAGTACCAAGCTTCACAATGAGGCTTTTCATAGTAGCACCATTGTCCTGCCCCAGTCAGAGAATGTTATGCAGATGAAAAGCTATGAAAGCTACACAGGATCAGACCAAAGGCCCATCGAGTCCAGCACCCCATACACATGGGGGCTAACCAGCTGACCACAGGATCTCTCAAGCAGGATAGGTGCAAGACCTCCTGCTTGCAGGCATGCCACTTCTGATTAGCACAGAGCCAGCAAGGCTAGGTTTGCATGGCAAAGATACTGGAGTAGGTTGCCATTTCCTTCTCCAGTGGGTCATGTTTTGTCAGAGCTCTCTGCTATGATCTGTCCGTCTTGGGTGGCCCTGCACGGCCACAGCTCATAGCTTCATTGAGCTACGCAAGCCCCTTCGCCATGACAAGGCAGTGATCCATGAAGGGGAGCTACTGAAAGCCTCCTCTTTCATGAATCTGCCCAATCCCCTTTTAAAGCCATCTGGACAGCCAGACTTTACTACTTCCTGAGAGAGTGAATTTAGTACTTGTGTGATGAAATACTTCTTTTTATCTGTCCTAAGCCTCTTACCAATCAGCATCATGGTATCGCTCCGGGTTTGAGTATTATGGAAAAGGGAGAAAATATTTCCCTCTCTACTTTCTCCACAACATGAATTTTTTTAAACACCTCTATCATATGTCCCCTTACTCGCCTATTTTCTAAGCTGAACAGTCCCAATTGTTGAAGTCACTCCTCATAGGGTAGCTGCTCCAGCTCCTTGATAATTTTTGTTGCCCCTTTCTGTGCTTTTTCCAGCTCAATAAAGTCCTTTTTCAAGTAAGGCGACCACAACTGAACACGATATTACAAGTTGCATTAAAGATTAGTGTAAGGGAAGTAAGATTTTGGCAGTTCTATTTTCAATTCCGTTTCCAATTATGCCTAGCATGGAGTTTGCCTTAACAGCAGCTGTGCACTGCGCCAACATTTTCATCGAGCTGTCCATGAATACCCCAAGATCGATTTCTTGCTCAATCACTGCTAGTTCAGACTCCATCAGCCTGCACTTGAAGGTGCATTCTCATGCACATGTACTGAATCCACCAACTAAATTTCAAACGATTCCCAAAGCAGGCAGCCCATCAGTGTTAGTGTTTTGTGTTCCCCATTGAACAGCATCCCGTCTACCCTTCCTCCAACAGCAGGAGCAAAGCTGGGATCATGCAGTTTCCGAGGCGGCTCTTCCTGCATTGCAAGAGAGCGCGGGGCTGGGGGCGCATTTTTCAGGAACCGAAAACAGCAAGCAATTGTGTTGTGGGCAGTGGAAGCTTTCCCCGACGCTGCTGGAGGAGGGAAAACGCGAAGCAAGCGTGCCCTGACGTTCTGCGGAGGCAAAATAACAGCATCAGCTGACTGACTCCGCGTTTGCGCCGCAGCCAGTCCCTCCCGCCCCGCGCAGCGGGCTCCCGGGGAGGCGTGGCCGGCCCGCACCGCCAGCCTCTCTATGGCCAGGCTTTCGACCCGGAAACCGGAAGCGCCGCCTGCCCGTCGCCGCTGCCCGGGCCTGCCTCGGCGCGGGGCCGTGGCGCGTTGCGGGCGGGACTCGCTGGCAGAGGGCCGGCGGGTGTGTCAGCGCCGCTGCCGGAGCGCCGGGGCGGGAGGCTCGCGGGGGAGAGCGCCCGGCCCGCCAGGCTCGGGGAGGGACGCTTGTCGGAGCCGCCGCCGCCGCCGCCATGGCTTCCATTCTGGACCAGTATGCGGACGCGCTTTCCCACTCGGCGTCCTCGCAGCAGAGCCGCACCAGCCTGGGCATCCCGCACACGGGTGAGAGTGGGGAGTGGGGCTGGGCGGGCGGGCGGGCGCGCCGCGCTTTCAGCCTGCCCCCTCCTCGCCCCCTCGGTGCCTTGTACTCTTGCCTGCGGGCCTGTGCAGTTTCTCCGCCTCCATCTACCGGACTACGTGCATAGGCCGCCCGTTGGCTTACCGTGTGTTGACGTCTGTCCGATGATCGCCAGTGATTTCAGGGCAGCGGAGGTTGTATGTCATAACAGACACCATACAGAGAACCATCCGTGTTTTAGATCGCTAACTTAGACATGTTTGGACAAAAGAAAAAAGGTTCTACAACTTAGCCTTTCCCAGGTGCTTGGGGAGTGCTGGAAGTTAATTATATTGTTTATTTATTTGTTTTTTGTCTAAAAGTGCATGGGGTTGCACACCCAAGCTTTGGTCACATGTTTCATTCAAACTGTACTCAAACCTCGAGTAGAAATCATACTTTGTAGTAGACTTATGATTTCTTCTAGTATTTAAAATGTAAAATCTTAATCCATAGAGGTTAAGGCTCTGGTGTTCAACACCCGAAGCTGGAAGTAATTGGGAATAGGTTTAATGCAGGGGTGTCCAAACTTTTTGCAAGGAGGGCCAGATTTGGTGAGGTGAAAATGTGTGGGGGCCGACCATTCAGCCTGACATTCTTTGAACCATTAACATTAAATGCAAATGAACTATTTTATGAAAGACTAAACAAATAACTGCACTAATGTGAAGGGTGATACTGCGATCTCGACTGCATTATATAGGCCAGGTCTGGCTCAAAAACAGTGGTTTTGATGTGCAAGATGCCACGCAGGTGAAAGTCACTTAGTCTCGTCACTTAGGTTCTTGTTAATGTTCATAACCGAGAATGTCTTCTCGCACAAGTATGTCGAACCAAACAAGCTCAGCATTTCCTTAGCAAATGTTCGAATCTCTTGGAACCTGTCTTTATCCAGCTGGCGGTGAAAGTTGACAAGAGGGAGCTGTTGGTGCCGAGTGCGACACTCGGCATCACATTGCAGCTCAATGAACTTTTATTTATTTATTTATTTATTTTATTTTTTTATTTATATCCTGCCTTTTTCCTACAAAGGGCTCAAGGCAGCTTACAT